CCCAGGGACACAGTGAGCTCCTCCCCCTCTGCCTCCCCTTCAAGCCCCCGAGTGCGTCTCCCGCCTGTCCAGCCCAAGTTCTCCCTTTGCACTTCTTCCTCTTCCTCTGATTTCCACACTCCTTGCACACCCGTGCTGGAGGCTTCAGGGAGGGTAGGGGCTGAGCCTTGTGGCTTAGGGACTTTGATTTGCCTCCGTTTGTCCTTCAGATGAGTTGCAGCAGCGCTTCCCTTCCTGCCTCTCCAGTGTGTCAACAAGCCCGCCTGTGACCCTCCAGGGGCTCCCAGGGCCTCCAGGGGCTCCGAACAGTCCTCCTTCCCCCCCTCCCTCCCTTCCCTCTCCCTCCCTCGCCCTCCCACTTTCATTTTTTTAAGGTAGTACTGAAGTGATTGAATTCAGGACCTCCTGCTTGTTAGACAAGAACTCTATCATTTGAGCCACCCCCAGTCCCTTTCTGTTGAACCGCTTCATGCTTCTGAACAGTGCCACATAGCATGTGTGCACGCACCCATGCTTACGCACGCACACACACACGCACACACTTGCACGCACACACATGGCCAGCAGCTTCACCCACCTTACTCTGGGGGGTCTTTCTGCCCCATGGGATCTTCTCTGGTGGGGGGGGGTCTGGTGCTGGCTCCCCCCCTCTGCCTCTCCTGTCCACCAGTCATACCTTCAGGCATTCACGCTCCCCGCCCCCTCCTGGAATCCCCTGCCCCCTGAACCCCCTTGGCCTGAGCTCCACACAGGGTCATTCCTCCACAAAAGCTGAACTCATGTTGTATTGTCTTCTATATGATAGTACCAAGAAAGGATCAGCAGGAGCAGCCACCGGGAAGCTGAGCTCAGCAGACACCGGCGGATGCTCACCCAGCTGAGACACCTGACCCAGGTAGGAGCAACGGGCTCCTCACCCAGAATCCTCACCCAGGCAGTCAGTGCAGCCTGGTGAAGCCCTGCGCCTCCCTGAACGGCCTCCTTCCTCCAGGAAGGAGCGGCAAGGCTGGGTCAGGGAGGAGAGAGGAACAGGTCTGAGGAGGGTATAAAATCAGGCCTGGTTTACCATTGGCTGTTAGTAGATCTCTCTGTGGGGTCTGCTTTCCAACACGTCCTGGAAAAAAATCTCAGGCTGCCTGTGTGTGCCGACGCCTCACGCCTGTAATCCTCACACCTCTTAGGAGGATGAGCTCTGTAAGATATGAGGTTCGAGGGGCAATCCAGAGAGGAGTCCGCAAGACTCCTTCTCTAATTAATCAGCCAAAAGAAGTATTGGAAGTGTGGCTCGAGTGGTACATCACTAGCCTCGCAAACAAGTGGAAAAAGTGTGAGGTTCTGAGTTCAAATCCCAGTACTGTCAGAAAGGAAGAAAGAATGAAGAAAAAGAGAAAGGAAGGAAAGAAAGAAAAGGAAGAGAGAAAAAGAGAGAAAAAATCTGACTCACACATAGGGAATCTTGAGCAAAAATGGGAGCAAAACCATGCGTGGCCATGAGACATAAGGTTTGGTGTAGTTGTGTAACAGCTTAACTTTAGGAGCCAGAGCTGTTGTTGCTTTATTATTGAATGGTAGAAAATGAGTTTATATATCTGAGATTAAGTGACACGATGAACAGTCCCTTTAAACTCAGTGGTTTCCAGAAAGAACAGCTGTACAATTGTTATTCTCTTTAGTGTGTCTGGCAGGTTCCCAAGATGAGGTCTGGTGGGATATTTTTATGCCTTTGATTAAGAACATTGTTTTACCTTTTGTTGTAAACAATGTGACCACAATAAAAATAAGGAAGACTAAAATCATTACTACACCCCAAACACCATCTGGAAAATGATTTAGCCTGCTTTCTTTGTTGGTCAGAGTGAGAGACTTTAAACTATTTATTTGTCCATTTATGGTCAACATACACAGAACTTGTTTCAAACTCTGCCATTTGAGTGAAATAGATCTTTCTTTTAAGAAGCTGTATAACTTATCCATAGTCTATATAACAAACATTTCTCTGTACTTTTGATATTTTATTAAAATATTTCCCAAACATGAAGGAATCTGTTTTTACAGGAAAAAATATTTAAAGAAGTTTTATTTAAACAAGATTTTACAGAAAAAATATTTTAAGAACTGTTTAAACAGTTTTTTAATAGGAAAATGTAAACAGACAGCATCTATTTAACCTTAGCTTCACTGTTAGGCTTTAAGCGTTTTATAACTGCTGAACCACGGCACACGGGCCTTCCATTCTACAGACAGCTGGAGTAATTCCAGGGAGGAAGAGACACGGCGAGCAGCCTCTCGGCTGTATTGTTCCCAGAGTTCCTCAAAAACGTACATACTGTGCCTCACACTGGCGGGAACTCAGCATAATGGAGTTGCCAGGAGGCGGTCTGGACAGGCCATCAGAGCTCTGCTCCTGTCTGACGCACAGACACACACACACAGGGGCTAGGGCTGCGCCAGCGTCAGGAGGAAGTCCACGCCAGGGCTGAAGGCCTGCGGAAATCGCTACGTATACACCAAGTATGCACAAAGTGCACACACACACACACAGAGAATTGCTAGAATATACAAAGCCCCTGCTTCAGGCTCGTGTGGGACGAGCTCACACAGGTTTAGCTCACACAGGTGTGCCTGCTCTCTGTGAGCCAGCTTCCTACTGTATAGCCCCACTGTGATGCGGACTGTGCTCCCCCGGACGTGTCCACTGTGCAAGTTCTCGTTCCACAGACTCTTAAACAAGATGTCCACGCATGCCGTGCCTCCTCCCAGAGGCTCCTGAGCAACTGCCGGGACCAGTTGCAGGCTGGCTTCTCCGACCTGGCGGCCGCCGTGCGGAACGTGCACGTCAGCAGCGAGGCCCTGCAGGGTGAGGCTTGGGGCCCTGTGCGGGGCTCCAGTTCTTTCTTTTGGGCCCGCGCCTCGCCAAGGGAGGGAATAAATGTGGTGTCAGTGGTGTTGGCGCAGTGACTCTGTGCACATTCTGCACCTCTCCCAGCCCAATTCACCGTGGGTTCCTCTCCCTTGCTTACCTAGAAAAGATGTTTCCTTGCTTTAAAAATTATCAGCATAAAGCCGGGCACCAGGGGCTCACGCCTGTCATCCTGGCTACTCAGGAGGCTGAGATCTGAGGATCACAGTTCAAAGCCAGCCCAGGCAGGAAAGTCTGTGAAACTCTTATCTCTGATAAACCACCAGAAAACTTGAAGTGGTGCTGTGGCTCAAGTGGAAGAGCGCTCGCCTTGAGCTAAAGAGCTGAGGGACAGCGCCCAGGCCCAGCGTTCAAGCCCCAGGACCGACCAAAAAAAAAGAAAAAAGAAAAAAATTATTGGCTTGTGCTAGCTGTCCAAGAAGGAGTCACGGTGACCTTTCCACACGCGGGCGCCATGTGCCCCAGTCACGCCACCCCTTCTGTCTGCTCCTCCTTTTTCTTTTTCCTGGTACTAGGTTTGAACTCTGTTTCTCAGCCTTGCTCAGCTTTGTGGCTCAGCTGGCGCTCTGCCACTTGATCTACACTCAAGCCCAGATTTTTCTGATCATTTTGGAGACAGAGTCTCTTGGACTTCTCTGTCCAGATCACCTCTAGACCCGGGTTTCAGCCTCCTGACTGGCTAGGACTGGGCACGAGTTGCCGGCAGCCAGCTGCTCTCCCGACTGCCTGAAACCGTTTCAACATGTCAGCATTGTTTTCCTGCGTGCACATGGAACTCTCATCCATACTGCCTGTCCATTCACCCTCCTCCCCGCCGGGTGCCCCAGGGGCTCTCAACGGAGCTCGGGCTGCTGAGTGGTGCCCGGAGCGTCATTATCGCTGTGGGCACAGCCCACAGAGAGGAAAGTCACTGTGCCCAGCTTGTGTGGAGCCCCTGCGGCACTCAGCTGCCCTGTGTGTGGAGAAGTAGTTCCACTCACGGGTCCTCACTGTGCAGGGTGACCTTGGACATGCCGTCCTCACAGGAGGGGGCAGGGAGGGGTGACCTTGGATGCACCGTCCTCACCATACAGTGTGACCTTGGACGCGCCATCCTCATGGGGGGTGACCTTGGATGCCCGTCCTCACCACGTGGTGTGACCTTGGATGCCCGTCCTCACCACGTGGTGTGACCTTAGACCTGTGGTCCTCACCCTGCGTGGTGTGACCTTAGACCTGTGGTCCTCACCCTGCGTGGTGTGACCTCGGGCGCTATTCTTGCAGCTTGCCGCCTCAAGGCCACCCATCTGGAGCAGTCCCTGCGAGACCTGGGCGCCCGCCTCCTCCAGGAACAGCAGAGAAGGAGATCCCTGCATAACCGCCTGGTGGTGAGCGCACATGCGGTGTGCACGCACACCCTCTCTCTGGCAGCTCAGAAAGGGGCGCCAGACAGGTCCAGGAGTGAGATTTGACCTGAAGCCATCCAGGCATGGCAGCCAGTGCAAGGAGGGGCGGGTCCCAGCCTAGCTGGGGAGGCACGGCAGGGAGAGGCCGCCTGGCCACGGCAGCCTCGGAGCGGAGAGAGTCGCGGTGTTGGTGGTACACAGCACAAGGCTCCGGCTGCACTGGAGCCGGGCAGGCCACGTGATGCCCCAGTCAGCACCTCCGAGCCCACACAGGCAACCTGACAGGGCGGGCAGAGGCGGGCAAGGCAGGCCGACTTCCCAGACGCTCTCTGAGACGTCAGCGTGCCTCTCCCTGCGGCCTGTTGGCAGCTCCCCTCCGTGCCCACCAAGGAGGCCCCTGCGCCCACATCTCCCCCTCCCCTTCCTCGGGCCTATGCGCTTTCCCATCCCACACGGCTACAGCTCAGACTCAGGCCTCTATGTCAAGCACAGGAGCCAGCACCCTGATGCACCTGTTCCCAAGACGGCTGCCCCAGCCCCTCTGAACCCCGGGGCCGGTCCTGGGCTCTCGAGGTGCGAGCCGGTACTGAGCTCTGTGCGTGTGTCCCAGAACAATCTGCTCTTTTCTCATCTCCTTCTGTGCTTCAGCTTAGTGACACAAGAGGATGGCCAAGTACTTACTGTGCAGCAGGTACTTGGTTAAGCACTTTGGTGCATTTTTCTAATCTTCTCCACTGCCTTGCTTCTCTGGATTGTTCTAGAGACAGCATGAGGTTTTCAGCAATAAATGATGATCATCAGCTCAAAGCTTTCCACAAACTGAAAGGGCAGAAGAAACTTTCCTAAGTGGGAGGCAAGTCCAACATGGGGAAACATGACTGTGGAAGATTCTGGAAAGCTGTAAACCAAGCCTGGGTCTGCAGCCGAGCAGTCTGCTCTGCTCCCGACCCCTTCCACACGGCAAAGGCAGCATGCTCGCTGCCCTCAGCCTCCCCGCACAGCCCAGGGACCAAAGGACCCTTTGAGCAGCCAGCAGTCAGCCTGCAGACGCCACCTGCCTGGTTTTCCAAAAGCAGCTGCAGCTGCACCTCGTACAGAGTTGAACGCAGGTGTCCCAGCCAAAGGCATGGCTGTAGAGCGGATGGTGGAAGGAGGGACCCTCCTGGAGCACAAGGGACAGTTGAAAATAAAAGCATTCGATTTCCCTTCCAGGGACTGAACAGGGAAGGGTGGGAAGCAGCGTCTAGTTCCCACCAGGCATTGAGAGAAGTTGCATGAAACATGCGGACAGAATCTCTAAACAAGAGCAGGGCGAGGGCTCTGCGGAGCACACCTTCCGCTGATCCCTCTGGACAGAGCAGGGCGAGGGCTCTGCGGAGCACACCTTCCGCTGATCCCTCTGGACCAGGTGTGGGGCTGGCCCCACCTGGGCCAGGCGCCAGGGGCTCCTGCAGGGCACCGTGATGCCCCGGGGGTCTGCCTTGACTCTCCCCTGGGTTCTGAGTGACACTGAGACACCAAGCCATGGCTTTCACGGCTGTAGATGGTATGACTGGAAGGGGCTGGCGAGAAAGGGTCCCCACGTATTCCTGCAGTCGGAGCCGTGGGCTGAGCCTGACTCGGAGGCACAAAGCCGGACCTGCGTGTGGCACCCACACAGCACTGCCCTCTGACCTCAGGCGGCTCCCACTACTTTTGTGAGCACTCAGGAGTTAGGGGGCGGCACCCCAGGAGCCCACCTGTGGTTACAAGGCTGACAGTTAAAAGCTCTCTCTGGTCCATTGCAGGAGCTGAAAGGAAATATCAGAGTGCACTGCCGGATCCGCCCCTTGCTGCCCTTTGATAAGGAGTCTGACAGGGAACCTTCCGGGAAGAGGTGTGGGCTTGAGGCCGGGAGGCAGGCTGGTTTAGGGACCGTGGTGTGGAAGCGTGTGGTCTCTGGTGCCAGACTACCTCTCTGCTCAGTACCAAGCCCGTCCGGGCATCTGCCATGGGAGACGCTGTTCTGCCTGGGGCAGGACCACCCCGTAACCCCATACTTTTGGAGAAAGGGGGCATTTTCCGGTCCTTCACAGGCACCTTCGGGGCAGGGAGGTAAAAAGCGAACAGATTGAACCGGTGATGCTCGCCTAGGAGGCTGAGGGGGTGGTTGTGGGCAGCACAAACTTGTTCATTCCAGTGTCCGCTTGTTCCCTCCCCATCGCCCTCCTGGCCTCCTCAGCGGTCCATGGGCGTGAGCGCCCCCGTCTGCTCCGTGGTTTGGCCCCTGCCATCCACTGGGCTCAGCCCCCGGCCCGGCCTCCGTGGCGCTGCCTCGTAGGTCCTGGCTGGCATTGTCACAGTAGCGCTCAGCGTGGTCCTGGGACGCAGGCCGGTGGCCCTGCACAGTGCTCTGTTTTGGACGGTGATGGAAATAATGGTGCTCAGTGCTCCGGAGTTGGGGGTTCGGCCCCCAGTAAGTTCTGCTGTGCTTACCCCTGCAGCTCCAACCCTGGAGAAGAGGCGGCCCGCGCACTGGATGAGGTGAGTAGCTCCCGGGCCCGCAGGGACCCCTGCGGCCCTGGGGCCGCCCCCGTACCCCGCGGAGCTCAGAGACAGGTGGCCCTGTGGCAGCTTCCCACCCTTCCAGGCCCTGGCAGCGACACACAGTGCCCCTGTGCCCTGGGCTGTGGGACCCCAGGTGGCCCGCAGCTGTGAGGAGCTCCGGCCACAGAGAGTGGGTCAGAGTTCCGCCCAAAGCATCTGAGGCCCAGCCTGTGAGTGCAGACCGGGAGGCCGCCCAGGTCCGGGCAAACCTGCAACCTTGAGTCTGAAAGGGCCTCAGGCCTCTCAGCCGGGGCAGCGGGGCAGCGGCCAGGCCAGTGGTGGGGTGCGGGAGGCAGCTTCTCCATGCCCTGGGGGAGCTGTGGGGATGGAGGTGAACACGACCCTTCCCAGGGACATCCCAGCCCAGGAGGGCAAAGGCGGCCACTCCAGGGGGCCTCCCCCCCCACCCCCACCCCCCGGGCAGCACGGAGGCTGCTCTGGGGATGGCCGGCAGACAGCCTGGTGTCCCAGCAAAAACCTTCCGTCGGCATCGTGCGGGTGGTGCAAGGTCGCGTTGTAAAGGCGGGAGGAGAAGATGAAGCCTGCGATGCCCGTGGTGCAGGACACGTATTCCAGGGCAGATGAATCCTGTGAGGGGGAGGAGCTCGCCAGGAAACTCGGAACTGATGGTGACAGCGGGGTGGGGGAGGGGGCAGTGTGGAGATTCAGGGGAGTTGGAAATCCATGCTTGCATACGCGTCTTAATGATGTGCCACACCTCTGCAAACCTGCCACTTCATGTGGAAGCCTGGGCATCGCCAACAACCCTTCCGATGTGCCTGCCCCAACCACCAGCCCCCCCTCCACGGCTGTGACATAGCCCCAACCGCCAGCCGCCTCTCTCCACGGCTGTGACATAGCCCTGCCCACCCCCTCTCCACGGCTGTGACATAGCCCCGCCCACCCCCCCTCCACGGCTGTGACATAGCCCCGCCCCCTCTCCACGGCTGTGACATAGCCCTGCCCACCCGGCGCTCACATCCACGGCTGCCACTGGTTTATCTTGTGCACTGAACATACATAATCACGCGGTGCTACTAATAGTTACAGATATGTGTGTGTATAAGTTCTCTCCCTCCCTACAGTATGTGTGTGTGTGTGTGTGCATGAGTGTGTGGGTCTAAGCAAGTGTGTGTGTGAGTGGAATGTGAGGGGTGTGTGTGTGGTATGTGTATGTGAGGGGTGTGTGTGTGTGTGGTGTGTGTGTTTGTGAATGTGTATGTGAGTGGTATGTGTATTTGAAGGGTGTGTATGTATGTGTGAGTGGTGTGTGTGTGAGTTGTGTATGAGTGGTGTATATGTGAGTGTGAGAGGTGTGTATGTGTGTGAGTGTGGATGGTGTGTGTGTATATGTGTGGTGTGTGTGAGTGGTGTATATGTGTGTGTGAGTGGTGTGTGTGTGTGTGAATGGTGTGTGTGTATGTGAGTGGTGTGTGTGATGTATATATGTGTGTGTGAGTGTGAATGGTGTGTGTGTGAGTGGTGTATATGTGTGTGTATGTGAGTGGTGTGTGTATGAGTGGTGGGTGTGTGTATGTGAGTGGTGTGTGTGATGTATATATGTGTGTGTGAGTGTGAATGGTGTGTATGTGAGTGGTGTGTGTATGAGTGGTGTGTGTGTGTGTGTGTGTGTGGTGTGTGTGTGTGTGCGTCCGTGGTACTGGGGACTGAGTTCAGACGCACCCCGGCGCACCTCGCACTCGTGAGCCCGCCATCCCTCAGGTGACGCCCCCTCCCGTCCTCCATCCCAACGACTCTCTCCCTTTGCCCCCGCCTTCCCTCCTTGTGTTGCCCAAGAGGACAGGAATGCTCTGCTGTGCTAAGATGCTGGTGGAGATGGAGTCTTGCAAACGTTATTCCCAAGTTGGACTCATTCCCGATCTCCGACCCCCAGTAGCCAGGACCATGGGCTTGGGCGGTGGAGCCCAGCTTAGCCGCGCCTTTGGGGCCTTAATTTGTATGTGCTGAGGTCTTCCTGTGGGGGTGGGGACAGGCAGACTAGAACAACTCACTGTGTTTGGAAAAGTTAACATTGCCGCTAGAATCATTTTGGATGTCTAGACACTGCTTCCACGTGGATGAATTGCTAAGCACTCGTGGAGACCGCTGGGCTCCGCTTGTTTTTGTGGCTTTTCGTGCTCCTTGGCCTTGGGGTCAGACACTGCAAACGTTGGCATTTTTGCTTGTTTTCTTTATGGCTAAGGCTGAGGCGTCTGCAGACAGCACAGCCCTGGGGTGACCTCTGGCCACGCTGGGGAGCACGCAGTCCCTGGGGGCCCTGGGGACAGTGCGCAGGAGGGGACGGGGAGGGCTGCCCTGCCCTCCGGCCCTCGCCCGCCCATGATGGCACTGTCCTTCCGGCCTGCTGCTCCAGCGCTGGGGACAGGGTGTGCCGGTGACCCTCGGAAGACGCCCCAGTCCGCGTGCTGGAATCTGCATATTGTCCCTCAGGCCGCCCCAAGGCAGGACAGAGCTGCCGCTCCCTCTCCTCCTCCTCCTCCTCCTCCTCCTCCTCCTCCTCCTCGCTGTCCATGTGGCTGCGGACAGACAGGGCCCCACCTCCTCCCGAGACTACCATTGTAGTGAGGAAGGCTCCTTGGCCTGGAAATGCACCCAGAGCCTCGGCAATGGCTTTCTGTCTGCCCCCTGCCCCTGCCCCCTGCCCCCTGCCCCTGCCTCCTGCCTCCTGCCCCCTGCCCCTGCCCCCTGCCCCCTGCCTCCCTCTCCACCCTCTGCCTGCTCCTGGTGACGTAGGTCACTGGTGACCAAGAGGGTCTCAGGTGGGGACAGCCAGCAGCAGAGACTGGGTCCGTGTATGAAGCAGGCAAAGCCGAGGCTTTGCCCCAGCCAGGCCCGCTAACCACCAGCTTCCCATGGCGGCGCCCCTGTCTGAGCACCCCGAGTTCACCATGGGTGATGTTGGCTCTGGGTACCCGGGCGCCGTGGCTTACCCAGGTGGTGATGTCGGTTTGGTCCCCCAGGACGGCGGTTGCCTCTGGATGTCCCGTGTCCCCCAGGGCCGGGGTGGCTCTGGACGTCCCGTGTCCCCGAGGGCCAGGGTGGCGCCAGACGCCCCTCCCTGCCCCCACGGTGCACCTCCTTTCGCCATGCTCCCGTTTTGTTGTGACTTCGCCATCTGTTTTAGAGCTAGAACCAGTCTGTGTTGGTGTTTTCCTTCCTGGAGTGGACGGAGCGACACCTTTCTGCTGAGCTGCTTTTGCAGCATGACTCTGAATTGCCCGGTGAGGGACAAGGCTGGCATGGATCAGAGGTGAACAAAGCAATAATGGCTCTGCACGGGACTCGTGGCCTGGCTGGAGTCTGACCCCTCATCTGAACTGTCCTGGGCCCCAGCCCGGACGGCCCAGCAGGCTGCCTTTCCCCGCCCTGTCTCCGGGGTCCACAAACACCTCTGCAGGGCCGGGAGTTTCAGGCCACAGCCTCTGTCTCTAGGCTCAGCTCTGCCCACGAGCAGCCGGCCCAATCTGTCAGCAGAGGTTCTTGTGTTCCGGTGACACTGCTGAGACCCAGGAGGGGCCACTGGCGCAGGCCCAGATGTGCCTCACCGGCCTTGTTCCAGGACGAATGAAGCGCGGGGGTGCAGTTGTCTGCTTTGTCCTTTCTGTTAGGAAACCGTCTCGGTGACATGTTGCCGGCCCGGCCAGCCTGCCTCCAGGAGGACATACACTTTTGAAAGGTAAGCGTAGAATCTAGAATCGAGTTCCGCGTTCAACACAGATGCCGCGCCTGGGGGTTACACGTGTGCAGTTTATCCAGCGAGTCTGCTCATTCCAAGTACAGATAACTTCTGTGCTAATCTTCAGGGTGAGCCCGCATTTCTGGCAGTGTGGAGGTTTGGTGGCCCGCTGCTCTTACAGTTGACCTATCCCTCCAGCCCTGGTTTTGGCTGTCAGTTCTTGAGATGGGGTCTTGTTTCCTGCCAGAAGCAATTGGCCGATTTCAGTATTTCTGTCATAGCTAGGCTGACAGGTGCATGCCGCTGTGACCAGCTGTGGATTGAACGGGGTGCTCTCAACTTTGCTGGCAGGTCTGGCTGTGAGCCCCAAATCCTCCCAGGCTTGTTCTCCCAAGCAGCTGGGATTACAGGCATGAGCCCCCGGGGCCCAGCCGAACCGCACGCTTATATCCAGTTTGCTGATAGAGGCTTTATCATGAAGACAGCGGTGCCGCGCAGCTCTGCCGGCATCTGGTTGCATGGTGTCCTGAGTGGCAGAGTCCCAGGAGGCACTGGCATAGGAGAGCTAAATGTGCGGTAGAGCTGTGCATGCTCAGGTCCCCGGAGGGCCCCGGCTCTGCCTCGTGACAGGCCACGGCCCCGCCGCCTGCAGAGACGGGCCTTGGGCTCGGCGTGGTCAGCGAGAGAACCACGGAGCCCACACCAGCCTAGAACCTCCATGGAGCACAGGGTGTGGGGGTGGCCTCACGCCAAGGCTCTCAGGCTGCCTGCGGACTGTGTGGCTCACTTCCCGCATCTGCCCGTGTCCCAGTGTGGGGGTGCGTGGGTAGGATCGCGGGAGTCAGCCTGCTGGGGGAGAGCAGGAGAATCTTGGTCCGACTGGGGACCCTGCCCAGCTCTCTTCCTCCTCCATCAAAGCCACCTTTGCTTTTCCTCAGAGTCTACGGGCCGGCAGAGTCCCAGGCAGCCGTGTTTGGGGACGTGCAGCCCCTTCTCACATCCCTCTTGGATGGGTAAGTTCAGGTGTTTCAAGACCGGTTGCCATGGTTACACGGTGCCTCCACGCAGCTCCGTGGCCGTGTCCCGTGGCCTTCAGTGGAAGAGTCACTGCCGGCTGAGTGAGCATGCCCTGTGGCCCACACCGTGTTCTGGTCCCGCTGTGCTGTGTGTGGATGGCAGCCTGGGGTAGCAGCTGCTCCCCCGCCCCTGGGATTCTTGGTGAAGTCTTCCACCTTTGTGAATAGACCGCCGGGAACATTGGCATCGCACGGGGCAGTGCTTCACTTTGGGAATCAGCTCCTCTTCCTGGAAAAGCTGGTGCAGATTGAAGAGCAGGGTCCCACCGAAGGGGTAGGCCGCAGCCAAGACCGCCGAGCAAGGCTGTGGCCACCACATCACTCGCTGTGTGCCGGGAGCAGGGCGGGGCTTGTGGAGGGCCGTCAAGTGCGGAGCGAGGCTGGGGCGTGGAGCTCACGTGACGGCTGCTGTGCCTGCGCCCTGCCCTCCTCCCCTGGCTGCGAGGCCTTTGCCCCACTGCTCTTTGATTTTTGTGCTCTGTACCCCGCCACCTTCCTCCCCTGGCTGCGAGGCCTTTGCCCCACTGCTCTTTGATTTTTGTGCTCTGCCTGGGTGCCGTCCCTCAGCTCTTCAGCTCAAGGCAAGCGCTCTACCACTTGAGCCACAACTCCACTTTTTGGTGGTTAGTTGATGATAAGAGTTCACAGACTTTCCAACTCAGGCAGGCTTCAAGCCACAGTCTTCAGATCTCAGACTCCTGAGATGACAGCCAGAATTAGATGGAGTAATGAGTTGGTGGCTCATGCCTGTAATCCCAGCTACTCAGGAGGCTGAGATCTGAGGATCGCAGTTCAAAACCAGCCTGGGCAGGAGAGTCTCTGAGACGCTGATCTCCAATAAACCACCAGAAAACTGGATGTGGCGCTGTGGCTCAAGTGGCAAAGCGCTAGCCCTGAGCTGAAGAGCTGAGGGACGGCGCCCAGGCCCAGAGCTCAGGCTGAAGAGCTGAGGGACGGCGCCCAGGCCAGAGGTCAGGCCTCACAAGCTCCAGTTTCACAAGGAGTGAGCCGCTGGTGCCTGGCATAAACTATTTTTGTGTCCCGACCTAAATATTTATAATTCTTCCACTGAAGATGGCAGGGAGCCTTGGCCAGCGGGCGGTTGTTCCCCAAGCTGCTTCCCGAGTGGGGCCAGGGCCATGGTCGGACCATTTTGGCAGACTTGCCCACAACAGGCAGTGGTAAATCTGGCACATCCTTTCACCTGGGTGGTTAGAGACCTTTCCTGAGCCACGAGTCTGCTGGGGCCACAGGCTTCCTTTCCCAGAGATCTGGAGCGGTGGAGTCGGAAGGCCGCGGTGGACAGGGCAGGCTTCTGTTCTTCAACCACTGAAATTCTGGGGGGACACATGCAGGCCCTCTGCCCTGCTGTGTGGCCCTCCGGCCTCTGGCAGCTGCCCTGCTGTGTGGCCCTCCGGCCTCTGGCAGCTGCCCTGCTGTGTGGCCCTCCGGCCT